ATTTTAAAATGTATTATGTTTGTACTTTTCCAATCCTCCCGTCTCCCACTCCTCACCCGTACATTTGGTCGGTGGGAACATGACATTAACAATTTATATCTATTTTAATGGTATTTCTCTGTTTGGAGCTCAAATTATAGTTATCTGAAAGGATGTCAGTTCCTCTACAAGCTAGTAAGTTTGTTGAGGTTGGGATTTGTTCTTGGTTCACCTTTTCATCTCCCATAACTTTTTATACAGTGCATTGAACATACTAGGTGCTTAATGCCTATTTGTTGTATGGATGAATAAAGACAGAATCCTAGATAGAGTGGACTGAGACTGTCATCTGTTATTTGGCCATTGCTATGTTATTTGGAGGTTGTTTCTGGGTCTCAGATTGGAGTGAGCCCTAAAAGCATTGCTCTGCGGGGGTCTTTTGCCTTCACAGAAGACCACGAAGAAGGCTTCGTCCTGTTGTTTTGTTGCCCAGAGATTGTAAGAATGGCAGGCAAGGCATTGCGCTTGGATATCTTCTTCATTCAAATCAATAAATCCACAGTTTCAGACATGATGCATCACAGATCCATCACTGGGGGTTTGGCCAGGGACAGAAAAGTATTAGGCAAAACAGTTCATAAGGATGAACATTTAAAAATGGCAGAGTCAATAAACCGGATGAGCACGAGAATTTTCTACAGTTAAAAATAAATAAATAACCCGGGAATATGCATCTCCCTTCTTCCAAGGGTCCTAAAATTTGTTGTTGACAGGGACTCCTTGCTCTCCACTCTCTCCATCCCACAGCCACCCCCAAGAGATTGAGCTGGTCTAAAAATCTGGGTGCCTTTCTAACTTCTTAAAATAGTAGCTCATTGCCACTGCGATCACATGAAGCTGTATTTTCACTGTCATCTCTAACTTCTAGTAGTGCTTGGTAATTACACAGTGGTTTCCATCTGCAAGTCTGTGAACACATACATGTTAGCTCTTCAATTCTCCCACTGCTGCTAAGAGAAGGAGACTGCACAGAGCTTTTGTGGCTTAGGTATATATTGGTCCAGTTATATCTCATCAAGGTGGTTTTTCATGAAGGTAGCAGAGGTGGTAAGGTGACATCCTTTTTTTTTTTTTTTTTTTTGAGACAGAGTCTTGCACTGTTGTCCAGGCTGGAGTGCAGTGTTGCAATCTCAGCTCACAGCAACCTCTGCCTCCCGGGTTGAAGCAATTCTCGTGCCTCGGCATCCACATTAGCTAGGATTACATGCCGCGCGTGCCACCATGCCTAATTTTTGTATTTTTAGTAGAGGCGGGGTTTTGCCATGTTGGCCGGGCTGGTCTTGAACTCCTGACCTCAAGTGATCTGCCCGTCTTGGCCTCCCAAAGTGTTGGGATTACAGGTGTGAGCCACCGCGCCTGGCCAACACCCACTTTTAAGAATGATGTTTTGTGCTACCAAAGGAAAAGCCTGAAGTCTTTATAGAAGCAAGAATCCGAAGGATAAAAGCCTCTCCTGACTTCAGGAAGCAGATACTTCCAGCCTCTTCAGTGTAACCAGTTGTGAAGCTTTTGATTACAGATGAGATTGCTGGAACAGTTCAGAAATATTTTGTCTGTTAAAGAATGGAGTTTTGTTTCCGACACGTGTTACCTACTTCTGGCATTTCAAAGGAAAAACTGATCACTGCCTCCTTGGTGGCAATTCTTATGGCTTTTTGTTATTTCTATAAAAAATGCCCATTCTTCCTAAAAATCTGTCTTTTCCACTTTTGCTCCTTTTCTCCAAAGAGTGGAATACCAAATAACTTTGAAATTTATACTAGTGAATTTCAAAAGCCAAACTAGATCTTGAAGAAAATTATAGAACAGAACAAAAAGATATTCTAGTTTTAAATTTTCAAATCACAGATTCAGTTTTCAAATGGCATAGAGTTAACCACATGATTTTCATCTTTTATGCAAATACAACAATTTTATTAGAAAACTCGGAGAGAAAACTGCATAATTTAAGTTTCGAGAACACAAGAAAATGTGTTGACTATTCCAATTTTGTTTTTTGATTTGCTTGTTTTGTCTTTAGTGACAACGTATTTAAAGTAGGAGTCTTGAAAGTGGCAGAATAGCATGATAACATGTCTTCACTGGTAATTTAATACTTGGATATAATGAGTTTATCTGAGAGACTTCATTAGAAACAGTAAGGTGCCTGAACACCAAAGCTGAGCTGTTTTCAATCACAGAATTATAGTAATTATACAAATCCCAAGATTTTCATCAGATGGAAAAGGCTTCCAGGGCTAAACATGCACTTTAAACCTAGCACTAATAACTGTGTGTTGTTCTAAATTACAGTAGAGAGGATCCTTGGGCCAAAGGAAGTATTAGAATGTTAAGTGTTGAATTTCTCAGAAAAGTTGAGAAATAAACTATTTTGATAGCATAGTGATATCACTAAGAGGCACATCTCCTCGGTAATAGAAGAGGAATTGTTGTGTAGACATAGTGCATAGCAAGTGAATATTCAAGTCAAGTCAAGGAGGTTGTTAACACTCTGTCTTTGAGAGGAACATTTCTCTCTTTTCTCCCAAGGGTCCTGAATGTGCGAATTGACTGGGCTGGGCTCTTCCTCTCATTGGTAAATGGGATAAGCTACCAGTAAATGAGATGATTTTTGGCCCGGAATCTGGCTTTCTGAGCTGGAGGAAGACTGTATAAAGAATAATTTAGCCGGGCGCGGTGGCTCAAGCCTGTAATCCCAGCACTTTGGGAGGCCGAGGCGGGTGGATCACGAGGTCAGGAGATCGAGACCATCCTGGCTAACACGGTGAAACC